CAGAGTGCCAGAACCAGCTCAAAGCAAACACGCAACGGAAGACAAGCAACATTGTGCAAAATGCAAGTGAATGAAGGAACAGATGAAATTACTGTTTAAACAAGTATTTTGCTGCTCGCAAAAATAAAATTGGGATCAAAAAACCTCATTCTATCACAACATGAATACCTTGAAAAGGGTCAATCCCCAAGACTTGTCTTACCCTGGAGAAAACTAGTTATTTAAAAATGAGGCTTTCCAACATCTTTGTATGATGGCTTGAAGAAGAAGTTGATTTTTGATGCCATACCTATTCACAGAAATAACATCTTTTATCATTTTGAAAGATAAAGTAACTTTGGCATGCTCTAGGCAGAGCCTTAAACAAATTTAGCTTCATTTGCATTTCTTTCTGAAATACTGCTTATATATCCAGATATCTCAACTTCTCCCTTTGCTATTATATATTAATGCATAATAACTTCAAAATCTCCTTTCTTTTTTTTCCGCATAGAATGTTCCTTTTAGAATATAATATAAATGTCTAAATAAGCAATCCCACAAATAAGGAAAATAATTCCCTATTTATTAATGATAAGATCTAAAAAAAAAGAAAAAAGGAAGAAAGAAATATATTCTGGGAAAAGTTGAATGACTTTGAGTAGATAACTGTATAATGTTTGATTTATGGATGCATTTATTATGCACAAGTTATTAAATACATTATTTAATAGGCTGCATTAAATAATAGATTAATTTAGAAATATTACTTTTCTTTATTCCATGATATCATCGAATAATGTCATATAATCTTGACTCATGAATCTTGACTTCAAGGTCTCCCCCAACCTTGAGCCATATTTCAACTTCTCTGAAGTTTTCCAAACCTATCATCATCCCATCTGTCTAAGTTGTTGAAATAAAGTAATTTTTAAATCTATGTTTAATATTTTCATTGAAAAATCTCAAGTGAAGTTGCAAGAATCCAGATGCATAATATTAGGACTTCTTGCTTTCCCATTTGTCTAAATGTGTCCAAAAAACTAAGCTGTCTTATTAAGTGATTTTTAAAAGGCATATATATAATGATATTTAATACTTGCCATTGTGAGGATACTCTCCGAGGAATGACTAACTCTTCACTGAGGGATTTTAAAAAATTTATTCTCCAGATAATTTCTATTTAAAATATTCCCAAATGAAATTGCTAATGTCATTTTTTTTTCCTCCTCCAAATAGTTTCTCCTTGTTCAAAATAGAACTAAGAGAACACCTGGTAATATGAGAACATTTATAAGGATTTGAATCTAAGGCAATTCCTTTTTTTTCTTTTTCGAGGGATATAAGGAGGGGGGAAATCACCTTGTATTTAGATATACATTTTTTTCTCTCTCTTTGTAGTAACATTCATTCATTTACACCTATTTTGCATGAACTAAATTTGGCATTAACTGCAGCAAGTCAGATGCTGATTAGAGTCAGACTAGAGTCTTCCTCAACAGACATTGCTTTTACTCAGGCTGTGTTTTTAAGCATGTGCAAAATTGGTGGCAAGACTTTCCAGTTTTTTAAATTGCTTTTGTGAAGTTGAGTCATTTTTTTAAATATTTGAAATATGTCTCCTTTCTCTTTTATTTGTGTTTCTTGGAGCAATCACAAATGTAATATATGTAGCTTCCCATATCAGTGTAAGCAAATTCATTTTGGTGTGAGGAACACTTTACCATACTGAATTCCCATGTTGTGCAAGCTGTCAGGGAAACTCCAAGAACCAAGTGCCTCCCTTCAAAAAATGTCTAGTTCTATAATCAGCTTCCAGCAGATATTTTGCATATTCCCAACTGAGCCTTTAATAACACTATCAGTATGTAGTGATCTCTGTAATGAGCCAGAACTGGATCAATTTCTCCAAAATTGTCCTCCTACTTTCAAAAGTCAGCATTGCTTTGTTTCTACTTTATAACATTATTTTAGCGAGTCTCTTGCTTCAATATCACATCATTTCTCTTCTAAGCTTTGTCCCTTTTTGTCTGCCACTACGACAAAAAATAATTAGACTATTTGATTTACCATTTTTTGAAATGTCCTTTCTCTTCAATCTTTGATGCTTCATTTAAGCACCAAATAGTCTCATTTATCTGGATATTCTTCTGCCTTTCTCATCCTGGACTATATAGGGCACCCAAAATTCTGAGAAGCAGCTATGTTGAAAATGGGCTGGAATGAAGAAAAAGAACATGAACATCAAGAACCCAGTTTTTCCTTTTGTGTTAAAATTGTGGCTTAAGTGGTTCATAGTAAAACAAAATATAAGAAAATGGAATGAAGCAAAATAAATTAAAATCAAGTAACAATACAGAATGAAAAGAGAAAATTTCATAGAGGAAAAAAATGTTCCAAGCATTTGCATTTCCTAGTAGTCAAGAAAATGTGGGAAATTATCAACGGATTATATACCCCACATTCTCTAGTAGGAGGAGGAGAATGTAAATTCTTGATGAAAAACACAAGTTGTCCTGGTCCTCGGCTCTGAGAGGAGTCTTCTCCAATGGCCTTTGAAACAGATTCATGTTCTCCCAAAAACTGAAAGCTGTCCCCAACAAGATTTTGCATTCCAGACCTTGAGGAAAGCTGAAGATGATGGTAAGTAGAGATATTTAGAGAATGATACTGTCTAGCTGTCCAAATTTGTATTGATCTTTACTAATGTCAGAATTCAAGGTCAGCTAGACACCCTTTTTAGCAGTCCTTGAGAAAGTATACTGACCAGGAGTAATATCATCTGGTCATGACAATAACCACTTGTTTTAAGCCAACAAGTCCTGAAGTGGTTTCTTATGCAGCCACAGACTACTAAAGGAACCTTATTTAATATTCACAATTAAATTGAAGGTAAGTATTTACCTTTATTTTACAGATGAACAAACTAGAGATCAGAGAGGTTAAGCCATTTATCCAGTGTTACAGAGCTCATACATAGAAGAGCTGAGACAAATGTCAGCCATGCAACCTGAGTGACAGTGATTTGTAAGGCCCTGAACTAAGAGCCATAATGAGGAGGAGTTAATTTAGAGAAAAATCAGACAGTTTATAACATCAGGACTTTAAACAGAGCAGAGTAAACTGATAAAGCACAAAACAAAATTGTCTGATCAATGTAGGAAAGAAGTCTTCTCAGGAGGGGGGTGAGGGAGGTAGAGGAGGGCATGGGGGGATAAATGGTGGCAGAAAGAGACTTGGGGTGGTGAACACACAATACAGTGTACAGATGATGTGTTGTAGATCTGTGCACCTGAAACCTGTATAATTTCGTTAACCAGTGTAACCCCAATAAAGTCAATAGAAAGGAATAAAAGAGAAAAAAAATCCCAAGAAACAAAGGCAGCCTGCCAATCACCTGTTTTGCTGCCTTCAGGGCTTTAGAGTTGTTTAAGAGGCACTAGCTTGTAAAGAAAGGTTCACTGACTGAAGCCTGACAGGAGTATTTTCCAATAGATTAGCTTTCCCAGTCCCCCACTCCCAACTATGAATTCAGGCCATTCTTCCTTCCTCGTCTCCTTCCTTCTTATCTCCTTTCCATACATATTTGCAGTGAGCATGAACCCAGAGTTTGCCCCTGTCCTAGGTGCTGGTGCTCTAGCACTGACTCGGTCACTCCTGTGGCCCAGGAATGTACTATGCAGTAAGGTAAGCAGGAAGGAAGCCCTGTAGTGACAGCCAGAGAGATAAACTCTAGGCAGGATACACAGGGAGTTCTGGGGGAACTGGGACAGTGACCCCCTCAATCTCAGCAGGGAATGGGAAGAGTGTTAGTCAAGGATGGCTTCCCAAAGGCGGGGACAATTAAGTTTAGTCCTCTAGGATGAGACCATCTCCTGAAGGGGAGAGAAACCAAGGCCATGTGCAAAGGCTTGAACTAGAAAGAGTACAGGGCTCTTAACAATGAACTCAGCCCTCCCTGGAGTACCCCACTGGGTTGGTACTCTCCTGCTGATAAAACTACACTAAGTTTTTATAAATCATTGTTTTTACTTGCTACTTGAGTAATAACAATTTCCAAGTGCTAATGAAATTATAATTTTTTGTGTTTCTCAACTATGATCTTAAAAATACAGTAAATAAAATATGTAAATACAGTAAATAAAATATAGTAAGATGACAGTAAACATGTAAATTAGCTCAGTGTTTTTCATTTTTCTTATGCACAGTCTTTCTTTGAAAGACAGACTTAAAAAAAGTAAACCATAAAATACTGTGAAGTGTTAAGCATGGAATTTATAGTCCATGGTTCTGTTTGCACATCAAAGAATCATGGGTCCAGTACCTGCTAACGAGGAATTTGACCTATAGACTCTTGAGCCCACCTGGAAGGAATTTCAGAATCCACTTCCAGGAGAGCCACTGTACCCAGGGATGTCCATGCATGAAAAATTACATGAGCAAAAATAGTTTCCTAACATTAACCAGACCATGGGAAGCAAAATGGGATACCTAGGAGGGAGCGGATTCCCTCTGCACTAGCTCAGCTCTATCGTACTTTATTTATTATTGAGGTGACAATGTATATTTTGTAGGCGAATTTTATTGCACTAATTAGCTCATTAACAGCCTCTAGAGAGAAGCCAGACTTCACTGTAGGCTGGTTTCCTGAATTTTAATAACACAAATAAAAAGAAAATATATATGCCAAGTTCTGGGAAAGCCCTAGGACTCTCCAAACAGCTCTGATTTATTTAATGTATCATATCATAGAAAAGTATGAATGGCAGATTAAAATAGAGAAGAATTTCTCAATAAATACACAATGCAATAGATTTGACACATTTAAACAAGTGATATTTATGCATTTATGGCATTATGATTTAATAGGAAAAAAATCAGACATTCACTGTGTTGAAGAAGCAGCTGGCTTGTTCTAGAATCCATACTTGCCAAGCTGGTGGGGGTTCCGGAGTGGGTAGAGTGAGGTCAAAGTGGGTCAGAAAGGTCTTGGATAGCTCAGCCTCCAAGACACTGTCCATTTAATTGACCTCTTTGATGTGGCTGATGATATGATTAATGGCATCCAATGTGGTACCCTTGCCTCCAATGTCTGGAGTACAGACACCTTTGTTCTTCAGAGATGCCAGGACCGCAGAACGAATGGAGGTGGAATAGGAGTGGAGCTGGAGGTAATCCAGCATGATACAGCCTGCCAGCAGCACAGCAGTAGGGTTTGCCACGTTCTTATTGGCTATGCTCTTGACTGACTGCCGTGCAGCTGTTTCAAACACTGCATGCGTGGTGCCATAGTTGGCACCAGGTACGAGGCCTGCCCCCCCAACCAACCCTGTGCAAATATTGTTGACAATGTTGCCATAAAGATTGGGCATCACCATGACGTCAAACTGCTGGGGCCGGGATACCAGCTGCATGGTGGTGGTATCCACAATCATGGCTTCAAAGGTGATCTGAGGATAGCGGGACGCCACCTCCCTACAACAGTGGAGGAAGAGACCATCTCCCAGTTTCATGATGTTGGCCTTGTGCACAGCGGTCACTTTCTTGCGCCCCTTCTCCTGGGCCAGCTGGAAGGCATATTCAGCAACACGCAGGGACTTGGCCTCCGTAATGATCTTTAGGCTCTCTATCACTCCCTTGACACTCTCGTATGCCAGGTTGCTGTATTCACCCTCTGTGTTTTCCCGAACAACAAAGATGTCTACGTTCTTATGCCGGGTCTCCACACCTGGCAGACTCTTAAAATGGATGACATTAGCATAGACATCAAGGGCAGTGCGAAATACGGTGTTCTTGGATTGGTGAGATGGTGGCAGGCTGTGGTCAGTTTCTATGTTGCCCTTCAAGGCCACACGGTTTCGACGGACTGCCAGGATGGCATTGTGAACATCCTCTTCACGGGAAGTAGAATTAATGATTACCTCCTCAAAGTCCACAGGCACGCACGCATACCTGAACACAGTCTTGACATGCAGCATAAGTTCAGGTCCGATGCCGTCCCCAGGAATCATGGTGACAGTGTGCCGTCCACCATACTTGGCTGACAGAGGAATATTGTATTGAAATGAGAAGCTCCTCAGTGAGGTTGCATGGCCAAGCAAAATCTCCCAAGAACAGCCCAGAGTTGCAGGTCGGAACATGGCCTTCATAAAGCAGCTGACGGCAGGCAGCATCTTCACTGCCATGATCATTAACTGGAGATTAAGTTAATTTGTGCTCTTGCTCTTGGTTTGAGTTGGCTTCTTTTGGTGAAATTCTAAATCCATAATTCTTGCCTAGGTCACAATTGTCTCTCCTTCCTTGTATTCTATTTGGACAGACATTCTATTGTGGTAAGAGAGACAGAGAGCTAGTCAAGAGATGTGATGTGTTACATAGTAGAAAATACATTTTGGAACTGAATAATAATTCATTAGGTACATTCATTGTGCTAAGCTCTGTGTGATATACTTTTAAAAAAAAACAACAGACTTTATGCTCATATTTTAGAGCAGTTTTAGGTTCACACCAAAATTGAATGGCAGGTATAGAGATTTCCTATACAGCTCCTACCCTGACAAAGGCACAGCCTCCTTCACTGTCAAAAATAGCTTACCAGAGTGGCACATTTGTTACAATTGATGAGCCTACATTTTTATATCATTGTCACCAAAAGTCCATAGTTTACACTGGAGTTCACTCTTGGTATTGTACATTCTGGGTTTGGACAAGTTCTAATGACATGTATTCATCATTACAGTATTGTACTGAGTAGTTTTACAGACATAAAGATCTTCTTTGCTTTGCCTGTTCATCCCTCTCTCTCCTGTAACCCCTGGTAACCACTGATCATTTTAGTGTCTCCGTGGTTTTGCATTTCCCAGAATTTCATATAATTGAAATCATATACTATTGAAGCCTTTTCAGATTGGCTTCTTTGATTTGGCTATAGGCAGTTTGGTTTTTTCCATGTCTTTTCATGGTTTGATAGCTCATTTCTTTTTAACACTGAATAACATATTCTATTGTCTGAATATACCACTGTTTCTCAACTCACCTAGTGAAGGACATCTAGGTTGCTCCCAAGTTTTACAATTATAAATAAAGCTGCTGTTAACTCCCATATGCAGGTTTTGTGTGGACGTAAGTTTTCAACTCATTTGGGTAAAAAACAAAGAGCACAACTGTTGGGTCCTATGGTATGGTAATGATTGAGTTTTGTTAAAATTGCTATACTTTCTTGTAAAGTAGCTATATTATTTTGCATTCCCACCAGAAATGAATGCGAGGTTCCTGTTGTTCCACATCCTCCCTAGCATCTGGTATTGTAGTGTTCCAGATTTTGGCCATTCTAATAGGCATGTAGTAGCATCTAACTGCTGCTTTAATTTACATTTCCCTGATGATATGATGTGAGGCATCTTATCGTGTTCTTGTCATCTGTATATTCTTTCATGAGGTATCTGTTAAGCTTTGTGGCCCATTTTTAATCAAGATGTTTTCTTATTATTGAGTTTTAAGAGGTCATTGTACACTTTGGATAAGTCCTTAATCAGATACATCTTTTATAAATAATATCTCCCACCTGTGGCTTATCTTCTCATTGCCTTGCTATTGTATTTTTGCAGAGTTGTTTTTCATTTTAATGCGGTCTAGACTCTTAATTTTTCCTTTTATGGATTGTGCCATTAGCGATGTATCTAAAAAGTCACTGCCATACCCAGAGTCACCTAGAATTTCTCCTATGTTTTTTTCTAGAAGTCTTATGATTTTTGCATCTTACCTATGTCTTTAATCCATTTGAGTTATTTTTTGTGGGTTTAAAGTCTGCTATATTTTTATTTATATTTATTTATTTATTTATTTATTTATTTATTTTTGCGCATGGATGTCCAGTTTTTCCAGCACCATTTGTTGAAACCTCTGTCTTTGCTCCATTGTGGTACCTTTGCCAAAGGTCAGGTGACTATTTATGTGGGTCTATTTCTGGGCTCTCTTTCTTACATCATTTTAGTCATCTGTTTTTCTGCCAATACCACATTGTTCTGATTATTATAGCTTTATAGTAAGTCTTGAGGTCGAGTACTGTCAATCCTTCAGCTTTGTTCTGTTGGCTATTCTGGGTCTTTTGCCTCTCCACAGAAACTCTGGAATCAGTTTTTCAATGTCCACACAGCAACTTTGCTGGGATTTTGATTGAGTTTACATTGAACCTATAGATCAAGTTAGGAAGAATTGCTATCTTGAATATATTAGACGTCCTATCCATAAAGACATAAGATCTCTCAGTTTATTCAGTTCTTCCTTGAACGAGTTCATCAGAATTTTTTATTTTTACTTATGTAGATCTCATACATAGTGTTTGATTTACACCTTAGTATTGCATTTTGGGGGGTGCTAATATAACTGATGTGTCTTTAATTTCAAATTCCAGTTATTCATTATTGGTATTCAGGAAAGCAATTGACTTCTGTATATTAACCTTGCATCCTTATATCTTACTATAATCACTTGTTAGTTCCAGGAACTTTTTTTATTAATTCTTTAAGATTTTCTATGTAGACCATCTTGTCATCTACAAACAAAGACATTTTATGTCTTTCTTCGCAACTGTATACCTTTTATTTCCTTCTCATCTTATTGCATTAGTTTGAAATTCCAGCATAAAAATGAAAGTGGTAAGAGGGAACATCCTTGACCTGTGCATTGGGAAAGCTTTGTGTTTCTCATCATTAAGTATGATGTTAGCTGTAGGTTATCAGTAGGTGTGTTTTAATTAATTTGATGAAGTTGCCATCTATTTTTTTGGCAGAATTTTGTGGTTCTATTAACACAAATACAATGCACACACAAGCTGTCTCCTCATTTTCTTCACTGTGCAGCCTGGCATTGGGATTGGTGCCTCTGATGTCCATCTGGGCTGCTCTTTCCACAGTGGCGTTGTGGTTCTTTGAGGAGAGGTTGTGAGCAATCTCGGCACAGTAAGGTTTGTTGTACATCAGCAGCACATCAATTTCCTTGATGTTGTGGATCAGGAACTCCCGCAAGCCACAGGGCAGCATGTGCTTTGTTTCCCTGTTTCCAATGTTGGACATCAAGATCTGGCCCTTGAATCTTCTGTGCACCCTATTGTCAATCTGGGTTTCCACCGTTCTGTTTAATTTTGACATATCAGTCTGACTGGTGCCAAATGAAATTCTTGGGCTTCTTTTTTCCTCTCTTTTTTTTTTAAATTATAAGTATTTTTAATTATCCCATGTTTTTGTCTCATGTGATGTGGTGTGAGGCAACATTATGACAGGTAGAGAAGTAGAAAGCTATATTAGCATAAAGTATCCTTAGTCATTATATAAATTTCTGTTAGTTTTTGTTAATTTGCTTGTTTTCAGTCTCAAGTCCTCAGCATAAGATCCTGGATATCTCTTTTTAGGCATAAGAAACAATTAGGATATGTGATCAGCTGGCTTGGTCCTCTTTTTGACAATCTTGGGTTTCACAAGGGGTCTGAGGGCAGCCATGGTGCTAAGTAGGAGGCGGCTCAAGTTACCATATATTTCTGAGAGCTTTTATTAGGAAGGAGGGTTGGGTTCTGTCAAATGCTTTTCTGCATTTACTTATATAATCAGGCGATTTTTCTTTTTCAGCCTGTTGAAGTGATGAATTATGTGAATCGGTTTTTTTTTTTATTTTTCAATTATAGTTTACATTCAATATTATTTTGTATAAATTTATTTTCAAATGTTGAACGGGCCTTGCATATCTGGGATAAATCTCATTTGACTGTGATGTATAATTCTTTTTATACATTGTTGGATTCAATTTGCCAATGTTTTGTTAAGGATTTTCGCATCTGTGCTCATGAGAAATATTGGCCTATAGTTTCCTTTTCTTGTAATATCTTTATCTGGCTTTGCTACTAGGGTAATACTCGTCTCATAGAAAGTTACAAAGTACTCCCTCTGCTTCTATCCTCCAAAGTAGAGAACTCGTTTAGTTTTTTACATTTTTATTTATTGATTTAATAGAGAGAGAGGGGGGAAAAAACATTGATTTGTTGTTCTACTTATTCATGCATTCATTGGTTACTTCTTGTATGTGCCCTAACCAGAGATCTAGTCTCAAACCTTGATACATCAGGATGATGCTCTAACCAACTGAGCTACCTGGCCAGGGCATGATATAATGTTTTCCTTAGATGTGTGTTAGAATTCACCAGTGAACACACCTGGGCATGGTAATTTGTTTTGAAAGGCTAATGAGTACTGATTCAAGTTATAAAATACAGAGTGGGGCAAAAGTACATTTACAGTTGTGGTTAAGCAAAACAGAGCTTATTCTTGTATTATTATTTACTAATTATTGTATTATTTTCCATGTGAACAACTGTAAACCTACTTTTTTCCCCACCTTAAATATACTGGTTGTACCTCAGAGATATTGTGGGTTTGATTCCAGGCCACCACAATGGAGTGAATGTCACAATGAAGTGGGTCATAATCAGGACCTTGGTGGAGAGTCCTGCCTTCAATTTGTAAAAATTACAACATCTGTGAAACACAATAAAGCAAAGCACAAGAAAACGAGGTATTGCTTGTATTACCTCTTCAGAGTATCTGTTTCTTCTCGTGTGAGTTTTGGCAAAATGTGTCTTTTAAGGAATTGGTCCGTTTCATCTAGGTTATCAAATTTGCGTGCATAAAATTGTTCACAGTATTCCTTTATTATCCTTTTAATGCCCATAGGATCTATAGCAAGGTTCCCTCTTTCATTTCTGATATGAGTATTCGTATCCTTTTTCTTTTTTCCTCAGCCTGACTACAAGCTTATCAAAGGCAGTGTTTGGTTTTGCCAATTTCCTCTAACAATTTCCTCTTTTCATTAATTTCTCTTGAATTCTTCATATCCTTGTTCTTCTGCTAACTTTGGATTTAATTTACTCTCCTTTTTCTAGTTCTCTAAGGTGGAAGCTCAGGTTCCTGATTTGAGATCTTTCTTCCTTTGCACTATATTCAGTTGTTACTACATATTTCCCTCAGAGCACTGCTTTCCCTGCTTCCCACAAACTATGTGAAGTTGTATTTTCATTTTGTTCAAAAATTTTTTAATTTCTCATGCGATCTCTTGATTCATGTGTTATTTAGAAGCGTGCTGTTTAATTTCCACATTTATTTTGGGATTTTCCAGCTATCTTTCTATTATTTTTTCCTAGCTT